TTACCGGCCGAGGATCATGTTCGATTATGCTTAAGTTCATAACCCCTCATGTCTTTCCTTTTGACCCTGAACTAAGTGTCAACTGAAAACTACGCTGGAGGCATATTATGTGAGAATGATGTGATAAATATTAGATAAGGTGATATTGTAGAGGTGATGGGTGAAACAAAGACCTAAAGACCCACACAGAGGAGGTAATGCTGGCTCATACTTGAATCAATCATTTCCCCCCAGTATTTTATAAGGCACACAAGGTGACACGGGGCCTAATCGAAATTGGATATATGGCCCTGTGTGTGTGTGTGTGTGTGTGTGTGTGTGTGTGTGTGTGTGTGTGTGTGTGTGTGTGTGTGTTTATAGTGGCTCATGCATGTCGGTTACAGAGGCTAAGATCACACAAAGACAGGAGACTTTGACATACGACCAGTCTGAGGAAACGGCGTATTATCAGCACCTTTGTCTCTGGAAACCCCATAAGGAACCAAGATGCGCCCATCAATTCTCCCGCACACATACACAAGAGCGTGAGTGCACCTGCTGCTCTTTGTTTACTGTCATTACGTGGCCTGAGCAATGACATGAGCCATAATAGCTTTCTGCTCTGGCAGCCTTTGGCTCGGCACTGGGAACTCTTTAAAGGCCAGATGCAGCACACGTATGGTCTTAATGGTTATGCAGCGTGGGAGGATATATATTCGTTTAACTCCTTTCTCATCAGAGGAAAGCACAGACTGTATAGAACGATGGACGACATGATCCAAAAAGTGAAGCTAAAGCATTTGGAGCTCACTCTAATGACTGGCTGCGAAAAATGTCATAAGCTCCACGTCCTCCATGTTAACAGATGGGTCAAACTATTTATATAAAAAAAAAAAAAATCAGATACAAATTTTATATGTTTATAGTCAATTCTTATCACATTTATTTATGTCTAAGTGTTAGCTGATCTGAGAAATTAAGTTTCAATTCGTTTTTTGATGCTATAAAAAGCTAGCAACAACATGATTGGATGTCTCTGTTGACAAATACAGCTCTTGCGGCGCAATGTACACTGGAATAGCAGAGCAAAGGAGGAACTGTGATAGGGCAGGTAATGAACCTTTACACAAGGGTGATTGAACTGATTATAATCACCAGTGTCTGCTTAATATGGACACAAGAATCTGTCCTGTCATAGAATCTGTCGATCTAAAAGATCTTTGCCAAGTTAACTGTGTGCTTTGGTTGCCAGAAAGGGGCAGGACATCAGAATTATAGTTCCTCAAGCCAATCCCTACACTGCACAGACTCCGTCTCCAAATGCACACTTTTCAGCCGATCCAGAAGGGGTTATTTTGGCTTCACTTTTTGTACAACGGGAGGAAGCGGGGGAAACAAGTCATCCATCTCAATACTGTCAATGTCGAAGTGTAGTATGGCAAAGTCACATAAGGTCCCGCTGATATTCAGGTCCTTGTTCTCTTCCCTAAGGTACTTCCAATGTATACAGAGGAATATTATGAGGAACTCCTGGGCCGAGCCGCTGCCACGAGTGGATTTAGATTTGTCTGCTTATTCAATAAGCCTGGGGGCACACTTGATCTTTCCCTTGCAGTGAAGTCATCAAGATAGACAAATGAACGGGGGGATGGAGTGCTCTGCCTTCCAGCCTATCAGAGGCTATCGGTCTCAATCTGCTTTGACTCCGGCTCTTCCACCTGGATAGAGAGGAGCCTGCATCACGCTTTAATCCCACCTGTGCGTGTGTGTGTGTGTGTGTGTGTGTGTGTGTGTGTGTGTGTGTGTGTGTGTGTGTGTGTGTGTGTGTGTGTGTGTGTGTGTGTGTGTGTGTATTATTTCTACTCTGCTCAGCCCAAGCAGACACCCCCCTAATGTCAGATGACTGAGCGCCACTACACAGCAGTTGCTATGGTTACCAGCCAGGTTCTGTGTACACCGCGATTTTGATCTGCAGTGATGGGTGCGCAGAGTCGTACAAAATCACCCACCCACCCACACACACACACACACACACACACACACACACACACATATATATATATACATTGCACATACATACCTGGATAAACAAGCTAACAAGCATGACTGTTTATGCAGAGAAATACGAGCAAACAAGCATTCACAAATATACACATTCCACCCACATGAGGAGATGCTCATTCACCTCCACCTAGCGCTCGTCAGTATATATTGTGCTGTATATCATTAGACCAAGCACGTAAGCAAACACAGCCTGCTGGCCACAATTATCAGCCCCAACAGAAGTAGCACAAATCACAGTAGGTGATACTCTGAGATATCTCTAAACCGAGAAACACCTTTAAAGCAACCAGTGCATTATTTCTCACAAACCTGTTTAATCTCTTCTGCCTGCCTGTCTCTGCAGTTTGTCCCTAACACATGTGTACGTACATATATACGCACACACATAGGCCTACATACAGGGCAGATTGGAAGCGCTCAGTCAGAGGAGAAGATGAAAGCGAGAGGGAGCTGTGTCCGTGCCAGCCGAGCAGTGCGAGAGGGGAACTGATGAAAGAGAGGCTCATTTAGTCAATTGACAGCTCCCTTCAGGATTCTTCATCTTCTCCGCCATTAAAGGCCCCCGATTCCGTCTCAACTCCCAGCTATTCTCTCACCAGGGCATGAGAAAACTGTCACATTCCAGCAAACTTTAACAATGACAGTGTTAGTATTTTAGTTTGGATCCATCTAGCTCCAAACTCCCACTGCTGCTCCAGTCAAGGCGCAGATGCAAAGAGGATGTCAACACAAGACACACACACACACACACACACACACACACACACACAGACACACACACTGTTGATAAAACTCTGATGCAAGTTAAGACTCTAAAATGAAAGCTAGAAAAGACAGAGCTAAGAATAGAATAGAAAAGGTTGTTTTCATTTCCATTTCACACACTTAAATGTGATGGATTCACTTACACAATGCATAAACCCTGTAAACACACTCAGGGTATCTTCTGGCACAATCCGTATGCTCTATTTCACAGCACTAACAGACTGTTCTTAAGATAAAAGCTGCTGTTGTGCAGCAGCTGACGCAGAAACCCTGAATTTCTCATCTCTAAGAATGCGTTTAAATGAACGTCTATTTTTCCGCATGGAAACTTGTATCCTTGTTTAAGGAACCTGGACACACTGTTAATTACATTGCTCCTGCTTTTTTCAACAACTGGATATGCTACCTGGAGTTATCCGATAGAAAAGAAAAAGATTTCTCACACCTTGACCAGGAGTTTGAGAATTCTTTTGTGAAAATTTTTGCAATGAAATTAAGAGAAATAAAGACTAATCCGAAGGTAATTCCGCAATCTGGACATTGACATGATCATCTACAAGGACATAAACATCTTCTTTCTCAATCCATGTCATCCGAATAACATGACTCAATAAATAATGTGCATGTAAACACACTTTACTAGCCACAAAGGATATAAAGGGGTTAACTTGAACAGGCCCCTAGTTCTCATCAGACACTGTGAAGTATTTTCATAATCAGGGCAGCTAATAGAATGAGGCTAGCAGTTAGAGGCGGCATGCTGCTCGTAGCTATAACTGCCTGCCGCTCAGTGGAGCTAAGTGGCAGACGTCTTGCTACGCTGAGGGGAGGAGCACGAGAGAGATGCTGCTGATGAAGAGGCAGGTTTTGATTTGTGAAATGAAGCAGCACAGTACAGATGAGACACTTTGAGAACGAACCACATGTTCACAATATGTTTAGTATAACATCAAATTATATCCTCTCAGACAAGCCGTACGTACTCTGGGGTGTTCAGTGGTTTTTAATTTATTTACTGATGCTTCTGGAAAGGCAGCTCAATGTGGGCAGCACTTGAGTCACAGACAAATGTCTCTTAAGTGGCAGACAGTAAAGTGTATCCTATCGTCTCGTATCGTACTTGGCTCTCCAAATAGCAACTTATTGTTTTCTCTAATTATGTTGAGATCAAATAATGTAAAGAAAGGAACTTCGGGATTATCAAAACATCTTAGTTGCTCTTTGGAAAGAAGAACACAGAACATTCAAGGCACCCTTTTTTATTCATTACAATGCCATAATAGGAATGGTACAAACTCGGAGTCAAAGGGAGTAAAAAGGATTTTTGGAAAAACCTCAGGAACCCCCGGCTACAGGCTTGATGCTGAAATGAAACTCAGTCACATATAAGTTCTCCATGACCTTATCCTGGTCGTTAAAGGCATACTGATTGTTTGTAAAGACCATGAGTTTATGGTTTGATAACTTGTGTTCAAATCTGAAAATAAGGGAACAGGCTGGATAGCAGCCATGCTTCTTATATATGAGTATGATCTTTGGTCATAGATCAGGATTTGGTGAACAGTTACAGAGTGCCGGAGAGATTCTGGAGGCAGACCGAGGGATGAAGCTAAAGAGGAGAGGGTCAGCAAAGGGTGAGAGGGACAGTAATTTATCCAAAAGAAAAGCCACAGTGACAGCCTCTTACTTCCTGCACAAACACCACATATGCTACCCTAGTACTTGACAAATAAATCTCTCTCTGCACACAAGCACGCACTAATACACACACACACTCATCAGTTAAGCTGGCAGAGGCTCAGCGGAGTGAGTTACAGCGTGCCTCACATAGGTCATCGCAGCAGAAAGAAGACTGGACAGTGCCAGCAAAATACCCATCTGAGATTCAGCAAGAACCGAGCATCCGCTAGCATCTGCGGGGGATCAAATTAATTGCCCCACAGTATGTCTCTAGTGGGACCTGTGTAAAACAGGTGAGGTAATGTGGACATGGAAGTGGATTAAACAGTGGATTAATTCTGAAGCCAACTTGGGTGTGAAAGCAAGTTGCAGTCTGTTTGCTTGAGGAAACGGCTGCACTTATCTAATTGTGGGCCGGGCGAATGATTAGTGTCAAAAAAAAGTGCTAATGGATCGGAGCCTGGATTTAGGATTTGAGACGTTTACGTCCCATTAAAGAGTGAAAAACCTACCAGAACTCTGCCAGTGAGTGTCTGAGCGGAGATCATGACACCGGCCCAGTCTTTGACGGAAGTCATCCATCCCACCTCGCTGGCTGGAACCTCCTCCTTCTCATCAGTACCCTTTGTTCCTACTGCCGCCTGATTGTTGGCCGGGTTGTTCACCTTCTGAGCCTCCTGCAAGACAAAGCAACAATGTGTGTGAGAAACTGGAGCATGTTAAAGATAGAAACAGGGATGTGGCCTGCTTTAGGGATAAGGAGAGTTTACGCAGGTGGAATAAAAGACACAAACTTGTAATGAGACCTCACAGAGAGGAGAGAAGACATTATAAACTGTTGGAAAATACATTGCTTTTCCAACTGGAAACCATGTACTGGCAACAATAGTCGTAAGAATACACCAGTTGTTGATTACAAACAAGAGGACTTCTCTTGTACGGTACATGATCCAAATAAAATGAATATTAGATACACAAATGCTTTACACAGCTGACAACAGGAAAGTATATGTTGAACTTTTGATGATGACAACTAAATAACAGTTAAGTGAAAATCTAAAGAATATAATCAAGGAAATTGAAAAAAAACTCATATTATAAATAAGCCCATACTATAAAAACTATCCAGTAAAGTATATGAATACAGCTTCTGTTCTCATGATCCTGTACACATCCACATTCATGACAGGCAACAACCTTGCGGGCAAGAAAAAGAACTATGATTGGAGTGATCATGCCATGGTGGCTTCCCTCTGCTTTAAGTTGAATATATGTGGGTTTGAATGTGTAATAGAAAGCAAAAGAATGAGTTTGTGTCTTCCGTCTCACTTTTGAGCTCATACGGCTCTTTGGTTTAATTGTTCCTCCGGGTAGAGCGAAAACCGTTGTTCTCATGCAGGCCTTTCGGAGTTCTTTCTTGTGTCTGACTGAGTGAGCAGAGTTGCATGGCAGTTCATTGACATGCTTTGCTTGGCATAGTCACTGCAGGCAGCTGTTCCTCCCCAGCCATTCTCTCTCTCTCGCTCTCTCTCTCTCTCTCTCTCTCTCTAATTCTTCGTCCCTCTGGCACTAAAAAGGGAATAAAGAAGATTTCCCTGTGTTTTACATCCTTTGAGGCAGCAAATTCCTGCACTATAACGCAATACAGAGACATGTTCAAAGACTAAGAGTAAGACTAAGTTTTGTGCACTCATAAATCCATTGGATGAGGCCCAGCAAATGGCGTCCACGGGGAATCCCTGGAATTGCAATAACTTTCAACCTCCTGATGGCAGCCCATTGCTCCTTTCCAAGAAGTCATGCTCACGTTACCACAGGGTACTACGCATGCAGCACTTTACAGAGTCCCTCCTCACAGTGACATCTGACAAGTAGCCATCAAAGTAGATTATGGGCCATGTCAACAAAGAAAAATGTGTTTCCCAGCACTTTACCCGTCACACTTTATTTGAATGACCCCATAACATTCAAAAAAATGATGACGTCAATAAAAAAAGATTTGCTTCTAAGGAGAGTTTGTTTTTCGCTGTTACAGCTGACACATTCCATTCCTGGAAGAGTGTGGAGCAATAACGAGCAGCAGAACTCCAACGGCAGGGGTCACCGATCCTGTATGTGTGCCCACACGTAACAACAAAACAAACCCACTCTGCAACTCCTGCATGGCTAAAGAGCAGTCCCACATCTGATGAGCCCAAGAGAGGGCTCTGTCCACTTCAGGAGGATTGTCTGGTCAAAATTGGATTACATTTCATAATGATATGCCATGGACACAGCTGCCATTTTCCTAATTCGATTCAAACTCCATAACAATGCCAATAAACTGGCCCTAAAAAAGCCTAGCTAAGTCATAAGATCATTATCTGCTCCTGCTGTTGGGCCTCTGAGTACTACCGTGGATAATACAGTTACTCATGCTTTATATCCTCATTAAGGGGATTAGTATTAAGAGACTAACAAACTTTTACAGTACCTATGATGAGGGTAATTTCAAGTATTTAGTGTTAAAGCATTACTGAGCGCAGACTTATCCTCTGATATTTGGGGATTAAATGATAAAACCCTCATGTACACAAGATCTACAAGTTCAAACACATTTCCCGAAACCTTATATATGATCCTGTTGCCTGGAAGCAGAGGGATATTCTAAGCTGTAAATAGTTCAATATGCAAATCTAACTGAAAATGCAGACTGAGCGACTAAATCTTCCCATAAACTCCCAATGACCCACAAACCCTTGTCTTTACTTTTTTCAGTACTCACTCGACTACGTAGCCGACATGCGTCTTGCCTGTCACATGCCCCGAATATTCAGCGCAGTGTGTGTTTGTGTGCATTGGGGGTCACCGTGCACAGGGATGTCTAAGGTTTCACTCTGATTGGCTGTGTGCCTGCTCGATAGCACTCCAGGCATGTTGTGGTGGCATAGTATGTGCGAGTCTGTGCTCGGCGCTGTTGGCTACAGGGCCCCGTCAGCCTCGCACTCCACATTTCTCACAGTTTGAACACACCGCATCACAGTCCAACTACTGTATCACGCAAGTCACGTCTCACAGAAGCACTACCTGCTTTCTGGCTACTGTTTCCCGCAGATCTGTTTTCAAGCATGCCGGAAATGCCTTCAGACATAAATCATGTCACAGCAAATGTTTTTTGTGGTGAATACTGCTCGCTGACTGACAGCTTCGCTAATGCAGCATCATGTCATGAAAACACACAGCAATGACTCCACAAATAGTTTGACGGAAAAAGGACAAACTGCAGCAGATTTAGAGCTCACTTGTACGGCTGAGATTTAAAATAAGCACTTTGAACTGTTGTGGAATTATAAGATAGTTTGAAGGCCTACTGTGTGTGAACAATCAGTACCACCTATACACACTTAGGGGTTAGGTGCTGAAGGTACATTTAGAAATTATCTCAGGTAGCATGTTCTTGCATCAACCTTCTAGGACCTGTTTTTAACCATGACAGAAATGCTTTTGGACATAAATACAATTGCAGCAATTTTCTGGTACAAGACAGTTCTGCTGACACTGTTTTCCATCATGAAACATCAAACAAAAAGTTTTATTAAATAAGACAAACTGCAGCACATTTAGAGGTGGATTGTACAATGACGATTTTAAATCATTATTTTGCATATTAAGAGTTTTTTTTAGAGATGTTTTCTCTGTGTGTCCAGTTAGCATCACTGCACACACCTTAATAAACGGGCTATTAGGACATGCACAAGCTAACTCCCAAAGTAGCAGCTCTTAGCTAATGTTTTACACACATTTTTGTCAAGAAAGGTCAAAACTCGTTTGGACACAAACCGTATCAAAACATTGTTTGAGGTGAACTGCTAGCTGATCGACAGGTTTGCTAACGCTGCATACCTTTATGAAAAACACAAAAAATGACTTAATGACTTTTTTAAAAACACACAACTTTATAGGGAGACACGGCTTGTGAACAGATTTCAAAGTAGTATTGTGTATGGTTAGGTTTTGTTTAGAGTGTTTTTATTATGCGCTAATGTTAGCATTACAGGTACAAACCTGAATATGGGGGACTAAACATTTTTTTTAATTTTTTTTTATCTCTTACAGATACTATACCTATTCCTTCCTTGGGTTTCCTCTGTACATGTTTTCGAGCATGCTGTAAATGCTTTCCAACATTATTCATATCACAGCATTTATACAGTACCGTAAGCTTATTAGCAGGATCGCTAACACTGCATCACGTCATGAAAACCAAAAGACTCTTGAAATAGTTTTATAAAAAGACAAACTACATCATAGTTAGACGAAGACAGTAAAAGCCGGATTTTCTCCAATCTCTTTTGATTTGTATATGTTTTTAAGATAATGTGGCTCCACCACTGATGCACACGTGTAGCATGGAGGCTAGACGACATTAAGCAGCAGTAATGGTCTGCCGTGTGTCCGTGTGAGCATGTGTGTGGCAAAAAGGAACACATGAATAATGGATGCAGTCATAAACTGATGGTTGGGCAGATCAGAAGAGACAGTGTAAACAAGGAATTGCTTCTAGTTCATTTGAGAGGCCGGGGGTAGGCCTGAGCCGAGGGAGAGAGGAGCAGTGAAGCAGGCTGCCACAGGAGAATCCATCTGCTGGCTATATATAACACACCTGTGATGTCAAACTGAGAGAGAGACAGGGAGAGGGAAGGGGGAGAGGGAGCAGTAAGAGCGTGTATTTCTTGCTTACTCAGAAGGGGAAAGATTTTCTAAAATAAATATCACTTTATGTTTATACATTAAGTGCCTCTCTTGCCATTGTAAGTGGCGGACTTTGCCACACCCATGCTCGATTCTACACTTGGTGAATTCAGAGGAAGAAGCCAACTTTCTTTTTGTTCAGTCCTCCACTTCAATCTGAGAGCTCTATCCACTTACTGCCAGCAGCCAAATATTTTCTTAATTATCAAAAAATAACACTAGTGGATTGTTTAAAGTTCTTAATAGCGTTCACCAAACTTCAACTTTCATTTTAATCGTTTTAGTCATTAATGGGAGAAGTAATGATGTAACACCTGTTAACGTTTATTCTTTCAAAGGTATTTAGTTCATCTGCCTACTTCAAGACACCTTTTTATAACAAGCACATGAACAGTGTTAATATTAGGATTGTACCAATTAACTGAGTACACAGGGGAGGCCTGGTAATAATGAGCAAGAAAAAGATGACACAGGAAAAAGATAAAGGGAGAGACTGACGGAGATAAAACAGGACAGGGACAAAGAGACAGGCTGGGAGACAAAGGACACCCACTCAAAACAGGAGTCAGGGGGAGGAAAAAAAGATCTACTGACAGACAACAAAGCAAAGAGGGCAGAGATAATGACAGAGACACGCAAATTACATGACATCAAGAGAGTCAGGAAACTGAGCAAACACAGGACTGACAGATAGGGAGAAAGAGGGATGACAGTGAGGGATATAACGAGTGGATAAAAGACAGACAGCAGGACAGATTAGGGGTAGAAGAAATAGGAAGTAAGAGTGAGGAACCCGAGACAGCTAGAGAAGACAAGAGAGAGACAGAAACATGCCCATGTGACTCCGCTGATCTAACCGGACTTGGCTTAAGCGCAGCTGTTCCTCTGGCTTTAGTCCGCATCACTGGGGAAAACTCTATTCCAGTGTGAGCAGCTATTTATAGCC